TAAGTTTTTATCTGGAAGTTTGACAATTGGTTGTTTAGGCTTCTCGGGTTCGTAAGATGAATATTCCGCAAGGAAGGAGAAAGCACGTACATACAGTTCTCATCTGCAACGTTCCAGTCAGAGGGTTTAGTAACTCGATTTAATTTTGTATCGGCGGATAGAAAGTATAGAACCCTTTATCCGTTTATAGAAGTTTGCGCTTTTGTCCGTACCAAGAAAAAAGAGAGACAGATGAAAGCCAAAATTTAGAGAATCAGTTAATTAGTGGAATGCGACTTCACTTCCTCATCTAGGGGAGCCAAATGATCTTTCAAAAACCGTAGGTGCCGTATACCTTTTACCCAATTTCGTGGATTTTTTAGCGCTTATGTTGGTCTCCCAGTCTTTTTTTTTACCAGCTTTCTTGGAATCTCGATCTTGTGCAAGGCCTGGTAGGCTCGAGGTTGCCTATTTACCGAGTTAGGATTTCGAGTTGGATTTTCGAGTTGGATTTTCGAGTTAGATTTTTTGGCGGGATTTCAATACATTTTTAGTGGTTTGATGATTTAAATGGTTGACAGGCCAAACACGACTCCTATTGGTCAAGATAGAGCTAGCCAATGGCGTAATGTACTTTTCGATCCTTATTTGTTTGAAGCTCGACCTCGTTATTTTTTGTTTTGTTTTGTTTTGTTTTGTTTTTAACAGCATTTTTTCTAGATTTCTAGCACTAGATGGCTAATCAGTGACATCAGTGTAAAATGGGGTTGACAAGCCTGCACGACTCCTACGGTTAGTGACATTTGTACATTTGCCGTTCTCTGTTCGGTCAATCGACCATTTTGTTGCTTCACTCGTGTTTATGAAGGGCACTTCATGTTGTGTTACAAGGAGGAATTTTAAGTAGAGTTGAGCCGTAAGACCGTGCTATAGCAAACGTTTCAGAGGTCATAGGTCTGCATGACTTCCACTCTTATCTGCTTGTCGCTTCGTCGAGTTTGACACCCCTGTAATTTGCCATGTGTTTATGCCTCTTTTAGGGTCATTGATATTGCAAGATATGTTGTAAGTCTCCATGTGTTTGCTTTCGAGGGACAAAATATGAATTTTGCTTACTTGCATTCTATATTGTGACGCCGGGCCGGCTGCGATTAAAANGGTTGACAGGCCAAACACGACTCCTATTGGTCAAGATAGAGCTAGCCAATGGCGTAATGTACTTTTCGATCCTTATTTGTTTGAAGCTCGACCTCGTTACTTTGTGTTTCTTTGACGGCATTTTTTTCTAGATTTCTAGGCACTCGATGGCTTAACTGTGGCATCAGTGTAAAATGCAGTTGACAAGCCAACACGACTCCTGTGGTTTGTGACATTTGTACATTTGCCGTTCTCTGTTCGGTCACTCGACCTTTTTGTTGCTTCACTCGTGTTTTTTCACTTCATGCTGTGTTATGAGAAGAAAAGTTGAGCCGTAAGACCGTGCTATAGCAAAATTTTTAGAGGTCATAGGTCTGTATGATTCAGTTCCGCTCTTATCTGCATGTCCTTTCATCGAGTTTGACACCCCTGTAATTTTCCATGTGTTTATGTTTTTTAAGGCTCATTTATATTCCAAGATATGTTTTAAAGTCTCCAAGTGTTTGGTTTCGAGGTACAAAATATGAAATTTACCGTGAAAATTTTGCTTACTTGCATTCCATATTGTAACGCCGGGCCGGCTCTGATTGGAACTGTTTGCAAGTATAGTGGGTAGATTCTTATCACGGACATTATATTTATTTGACATGTCCTTGTACGTTTTTCTTCTGAGACGCCGTAGCTTTACTTCGAGAAAGCTATACGTTTCTCCAGAAACATTCTTGTGTTTCTTGCAGCTATCGATCTGATCGAGCTAATGTTTCTCGAGCACGATGTACAGGTTTATTCCTCCTTTTGGTCGTTCTGGCACCACGTAAATGTAGCTGTTTACGCGCAGTAAAAAGGTAAATCACTAGCCCCACCCCTACAGGAATTCTTTTGTTGGTTGCATTGGACTGGAAATCTACGAGACGGTTCACGGACAAACTAGCTGAGATCGTTGCAGCTGGATTACTAGTAACCATCTCGAAAAGACCGACTCTACATCCTTAAACGTAAAATCAACTCGAAATCCTAACTCGAAAATCCAACTCGAAATCCTAACTCGAAAATCCAACTCGAAATCCAACTCGAAATCCTAACTCGAAAATCCAACTCGAAATCATAACTCGAAAATCCAACTCGAAACCCTAACTCGAAAATCCAACTCGAAATCCAACTCGAAATCCTAACTCGGAAGTTAGTTTGTCTCGCTATAGAATGGACTTTAAGAGGTAAACATTTGATTGACAGGTAGAAAAAACAATAATTAAAAGCTTATCTTTTTCCTCGAACAACTCTGTCGGAAAACTGTTCTTTTCACGGAACAGATCATCATATCCGCGAATAAATATCCGGCCTAATCAGCATAATAGAGGTTTCATTGTTTATTTAGTCGTCAGACACATTAACACGATATCAGCTGATTAATGATTTTGTGAGAGGTGCTTAGCGTCAGGTATAAGCTATTTTCGCTTCAAACAAAAAGCCCGGTGTATCGGCAAATTCTCAAAAAGGTATTTTCATTTTTTTTTTTTGGTGGCTCCAGGTAAACCAACAGACCTTCGAGTCGCAAGTGTTCGCGACCTTAAGATCATGCTGAAATGGAAGAGACCGCTGACTACTGCTGGCGCACCAGACAGTTCAGTTCTGTCATATATGGTGTCCTACCAGGTTGTTGGGAGCGGCCCCGGAAGACGGGTGCCCGCGACATCAGAGAGCGCTGAACTTGACTTACAAGATAACAAACAGTATAACATTTACGTTAAAGCCGTTAGACCAAACCAAAGCACTTGGTCGGATGTCTTTGGATTACATACTAACACTTTGGGTGAGTTTGGACTCGTATTTTCTCCCTCGAAAGAAAGCTTTTTAAAAGCTGCAATTTCTATGGATAAAACTCTCCATGGTTATTTTGTGGGAGAGAGACCGATTTACATGGCCCTACATCTGACTTCAGAGTTTATCAAACACGACGACAATGTGTTAAGTGGAAACATTGTCAACTTTGAAACGCGCGAGGAAACCGCGATTCTATCTGTTCTAAGGGACTGACCATTATTTTATTTGAGGCGTGGTGAAGGGGTGAGAGTTGGGCTATTTTCTGGGGCATGAAATTTTTCAGTCACCTTTAGGTTGTGAGTGTTTTTTTGGTAGACAATAGCTTGCTCAAGAATTTTTTCAAAGTCAAACACAGGGCCTTTATAGTAGACAGCACTGCTCGATTTTTTCCCCATGGCTCCCACTGCGTTTTTTTTTTTTGTTAGCAGTTTTTGCTGTGAAGGAATTTTTTTTTTCTTTTGAAAATTGCTCAACATGCTTGTCTGGCTATAGTCAAGATGTTGAAGTTATCTGTTGCACCTATCTGCCATACACATTGTATGTCGTGTTTTATGTCTCCCAGTGGATAATAATATTATTTGACATAAACTTTTCTTCATGTACAGTTCCTGCGAAACCCATCAATCTCCGTGTGTCCAGTGTGAACCGTTTGAGAATCACCGTCGTCTGGAACAGTCCATCAGTTACTAAGACTGGGATAACAGATACATCGAGATTAAACTACTATGTTCGTTTCAAGAACGTAGAAAGCAAAGCGACAAGACAAATACAAAGTTCTACAGAAAAAGCTTCTTTTACTCTTAAGGCAAACACAAGATATGAGATACAGGTCAAAAGCTATAAAGTGTTCAATGACCGTGTGGCTGGTTCGTGGTCGGACTCGTTGACAATCAAAACAAATGAATCAGGTAAGAGCTGCGCTCGCAATCACTAGTTCTCGAAACAAAATCTTTCCTCCCAATTCAACCAAGGCCCCGTCTCCTATTGGGAGTGTGAGGTCCTGGGTAATAGGTTTGCAATGCTCAGCTGATGAAAAGCGCGGGAACTGAGTCGCGCGGGTTGAGCCACGTGATAGTTAAGGTCTCCCTATGATTGGTCAACAAGGCCATCATTCTCTATTGGCACGAGAACTTTGTCCCGCATTTTCTAAGTAATTAAATCCGAGATGTAAAGATCTTAATCAACTAGACAATAAATCGTGATTTCAATCTCTCTACTTTTCCCGAGCATGGCTCAGGTTGCAAGACTTGCAAGTACATTTTGTTCTGGTTGGTTCCTTCCGCTGTCTATAATGAACCCGCTGTTTTTTGTTTGCTTCCAGTCCCAACTAAACCACCAACCAACGTCAAAGTCGTCTCCAGTACTCTCTCTTCCATAAAGGTTTCATGGGGCCCAATCCCTAAAGATGATCGTAATGGTGTCATTCTGGGCTATGTTGTGTTCTATCGTGAAGGTACTTCTGGGTCATGGTCTGAAATCGATGCGAGCCTGGTCTATACTCAAAACCTGACTGGTCTGACAAGCGGAAAATTGTATTCCGTCAAAGTAGCAGGATATACCAAGATGGGACGAGGAACCAGATCCGGTTCAAAAAGTATTATTCTTGGAGGTAGTATATTTCCATGATGCTTCCAGCCTAACGAAAAAAGACGCCTAGTGTTTACGCGCTCAATATCAATTTTCCCGCTAGCGCTCGAGGAACTTTTGACAATCTATTTAAAGCATTCCATACCGATGACTTCGCTTCGGACAGATCCGTGTAGAGTGTCAGTAAGAAATGGTTGTTGCGCGCGAAATTTTTTAAAACATATCAGATTTTAGGGTGAAATATCTCGGATCCCTTTAGAACGTTGCTATTTTGACGATAACTTATTGATGCAAGAGGGGTTTTTTTTGTTAAGATACTACAAGCAGAACTCTGTGATAGTCACTCGATCAATGTTTACATGGTGTAAATTTTGAAGAAACGTCGGTTACAGAAAATCAGTCTCACTTGTCATCTACTGACGTGCACCATGTTTTTTGTTTGCAGGCCAGTTTATCACTACTACAAGAAAGGTTACTACACAAAAGCCACCAACAGGTTATTCTCCCTTTATTCTTTCTTTACTTTATTCGCTTACTCTTCCCTATAGGTTTTCTTTTAATCGTGTCCGGCCCAGAGCTTTATTTAATTCCAAATTTCATCGCACTACTTTTCCCGCCAAAAATCATGCTTCGTGGAGTGCAACCACAAGCCTTTTCGTGCTCTGCAAAACATTTTTTTTTTCGCTTTACATATAACATTGACTGTAAAGCCAAAAATTTTTTTGCAGAGCGCGAAAAGGCCTAAGTACGAGTTCAGCGCTACAGTGTTACGCAGGACTTGTAAGTAGCGGTTTTCTCTGTAAGGTCGGGTAAGAAATAACAACAGGAGACAAAGGTAAAATATTCGTTCTTTTCATTCCTTTATTTACTCTCTTCCTATTCAACAAGATTGTGTGCTCCCTGTGGTGCGACCATAACCTCGCTTCCAGTTTCTTCCTTAGCGTTTGCAAACGCCTTAACCGGTCTGAAACAAACGAAGTCATTGGTTAGAAAACGTTGCCAAGATCTATCCATAGACTAAACTGCTGTCTTTAGATCAAGCGTTTTAGCGGGGCAGCGCTGTCGTGTACTGTGCTGAACTGGCTGTTCTGCAGGATAACTAAACTGTAAAAAGCAAAACAAAACAAAACAAACCTCCTTATGTGGCGTGTGCTTCGAAGAAGAGTAAGGAAGCAAGGTACTATTTTAACCTGCTTAATATCTGATTTTTATTCTTGCACAACAGTTTCTGAAAAGCCACACAGCACCTCTCGAACAGCGAGCGTAAAGACAATTGGCACAGTAGAGAGTGTGTCCACTGAAGCCCCTGGTAATACAACAGGTTGGTAGAGCTCATTTCCAGGCTGACTCATTTACTTTCTTCTAATCCCTTTTAATTAGTACAAATCTACTAACTTCTATCACGAATGCCGCTCTCTGATTGGATACGCTACTCACTACCTATTCTGTGATAGATAGTGAGTAGCGTAATGCGCTTGTTAACAAAATTACGGCCGCTTCTTGGCGTTTTCGAAACGTCTGTGAAGAGTATTTAGACAGAGTTTTGAACGACTAGTAGATTTATACTAAAGCAATTAGATTATTCGCTCTCGATTTCTATGCGTGATAGTTGAGGAGGGCGCAGCCCTCGTCAACTATCACGCAAAAGAAAACTTGAACTCATAATCTAATTGTTAAGTAATACTAAAATCGAAGTCTAATCGATATGCATAAACATCCTTCTTACCCGCTGCATTCTATAGTAGTTATGGTGGATGTAGCTTTACCTACATCTAGACGTCTGCGGCTTCCTTTGTCACAGGCAGAAGCAAAGGGAATAGTAGAGCTAGGAAGGATAGGCTGTTTGCTAACGAGATACAACCGGCTTGAACTATTAATAAATGATCCAACGGCTGAGGAATGCAGTACTTGCTGACGTGAAAACTTCTTTTTCTTTTCGCAGATGTCTTGCCCACAGATCCTTACGCTAAAACATCGACTCGTTCACCGGGTGAAACAGCTATCAGGCGATCATCTGTTCCTTCAGTGTCTTCTATGCCGGGTGATCTCTCTCGTCAATCCACGCCAGAAGCTGATTCGGATGGTACAGGTAAGTTGTGCTCAAGTGCTTCGAGTAAACTTGGTTGAATGTCCGAGGCGCACCTAGTGCAATATATATATGCCGCTTGCTGTAACCAAGATAAGCATAAACTTAAAAACTAATCATTACCTTTGAAGGCTTCCTAGGGAGAATGGGATACGTGTTGCATTGATCACATAAAAAAATGTCGCATTTTCTCTCCTGTTACGTTCCCCTAGCGTAACCTGTGTAGCAGGCGTGTACGGAGGAGCTGGTTGAGGGGGGGAGGGGGGAGCGGGCGTTTTTCGCCTCCCGTGCTATTTTACTTCCTGCAACGAAGGCTACCCTAGAGATGTCAGCCCCATTGTTTCTTAATATTAGTCTTTTAGCACGCGGAGAATAACATATATATTATTTGGTCATTCTCAGCTCACGAAGTAACCAAAGAGAACTCTTTGAAAAAGATTCTACTGATAGGAGTTCCGGTAGCCTGCGCATTCCTCTTGTTAATTATATTAATAGTCTTCATCGGGCGTTCCCGCAAGAGAAAACAATTGCATCAAAACGGTGAGGTTACGAAGTCGAAACGTCGAAAGAGGTCGAAAGACGTTGTTACACGGGGTGCCTTCAGCGTGAGATATGAAACCCCCTCGGGAAACACTACGCTGGGCAGCGACTCCATGACTGAGGGGCTCTTACAGACGGCGGACGAACCGGATCAACCTGTTATCGTTGTACAAGAGGCAAATGGCTCCCTACCAAGGGCGGAGGCAGAAGATGTCCCTTTGATAACAGCTGGTGATTCTGACAAATGCGATCATTTGAGAGTTGATTTGAGCGCGGAGCAAAAACAACTTGAAGAAGGACGCGCTTCAGGATTGTACGAAAGTATTGGGTCTCTTGGAAAAGCTGGGTGCTCCAATGAAACGAGACGCGACGACGGAAAGAGTGACGACGAAGAGCGTTATGTCACGCAAGAACAAATCGATGCCACGCGTGACAAAGCTTCGTCACAGACCCAGGCTGATTACAAAACTCCCAACGGTCACTATAAAACGCCCAAGGCAGAAGTTCATTATAAAACGCCCAAGACAAGGGTTGCCAAGGATGTTCCTGATTACCAGAACGTCGCAGATAAGGAACACGTCTACGAGACCCTCGGTTTGAAGCACCCAGGGGATCCTGTGTATGAGAATACCAGAGCTTCATCCGACAATGCTGACAGGGGCGAGCAGAATGAATCAAGTCCCATTTAAATTACAAACTTTTTAAACACACGACGCTTGAATCCTTTAATACGGTCATTTGGAGGATCATTTACGAATCGGAATTCCTGTCGTCTAGTCCACCGCCGGATCAGAGTAGCACAATATCAAAGCTAGCCTGAGAAAAGGCTCCCGGCGAGGGTGGAAAGAAAACATAGAGCGAACGAAGCGCTTCGCTCGCCGAAAGTCATTTGTTTTTTTTGGCGCTCGTCGGCTCGCATCGGTCGCCGAATTTTTTTTTCCGATCTTGCCTGGAACCTAGCTGGAGCCTGTTCGCAGGCTATGGCACAACCAAGTGGTCTTCGGAACAGGTCTTCCGTAAAATAAGCCAAGTTGTTACATTAAGTCGGAAAAAAATGAATAGAATTGTTCCCTTTAAGTCGGGACGACTCGTAAGCCTCGAATTAGATTTCGCGGGAAATTTTGTCCATTGGAGGCTGGGGAACCCACTGCAAATACAGAAGTATATATTTTTGTAAACAAATTAAAATTTAATGTTCAAAAAGTAAAAGAGTATTGTTATAGGCCGGCGAGAATATTTTTTGAGTAAAGTTCTTTAAATGAATTGAGAGGATAAAGTTTCACCGTGCTGAATCTTGTCATTAACCCAGATCAAGAAAGAGACAATGAATTTAGCGGGAAGAGTTAGGTGTATTTTTTAGCTGAATTAATGCGACTGCATTTTATAACTGAGTTAATTGGACTGTATAACTTCATTTTGCAACTGAGTTATAAAATATAGTCGTGTCATTCCCAGACGTATTTGTGGGCTTATTTGTTTGCAAATTAAAAGTCGAGAGTAATTTCTTCTCTCACCCTGTGTGGTTAATGCAATTAAAAGAAAGTGAAAAAAAAATGTATGGCTTAACGCAAGTAAGTTGTAAAGAACCAACTACCAGTCGAGGGAGCTGTTGGCAATAGAACGGAAGTTTTAACTGAACAGCTAAATCAATAAGCTACTGCCTTCGCCATTAGAAGATCCAAAGAAAGATCTTCTATCAAGCCTTGACTATTGTACATGTGGTGTTGAGGCAGATGTGGGTGTTATGTTGTTAGTCAGGGCGCCCTTGCCGTTGTGGGCATTGTGGTCCGTTCTCCGGGCGTCAACCACAACACCCGCGGTGCCCACAACTGCTAAAACGCCTACAAACTTTTCTGCAAAAACGCCCACGAGCTTCATAACCTGATTAACCACACCAGACAGCTAGCAACCACCTACGACCACAAACACCGACCATGTTATCTATCTTAATTTTTTTTCTTAATTTACCATGTTACGTATCTGTTATTATTCTAAAAACCCATTCAAATGAGGCGGCTTAGAACGTCTAACGTATCGTCTTAAAGATTCGAAAAGATTTCAGTCTTGTGAGAGACAAAAAAAATGATCTGCGGCAAGTCTAGCCAAAATGCAAACACTTCTGAACATGACTGCGCGTCAATGCGACTTAACGCAGAAAGAAAATAGAACGCGCAAGAAATGAAGCGCATTGAAAAATTCCGTTTCCCTTTCTAACAAGGCGAGTCTGTCAATTTTACGGTACTCGCCTGCGTTCTATTGAGGGAGAGATTTGTCACTCTGTTTCCGGTGCCTTCGTCTAGAATTGCAGCGTTGAAACAGACTTCTGATTTTTTATCCCACCAGAGGAGATAAATTTTGATATCCGTACACGGATCAAGTTTTGTAGTTATTCAATTAACTTAAATATAGAAGAATTTTTGATCGACTCCTTTGGTCCCAAGTGGTATCTTTGGACAACATCTCAATCTAGTTTGGTGAAAGCATGACGAACCACACTTTTGTAACAACTAACCACCACCACAAACCTGAAACCCGGAGCTACAAGTGTTAACAAATATCGAAAAGTCTGCTAAACTAACCAGAAAGCGTAACCTGCTGTAGAAAAAGTAGATTGCACTTGTTTGAACTTTACGATAAGCTGAAATAAATCTTGCGTCTTATTGGAGAAACTTTTTGAACTAGGTGACGAAAACCTAGTTATCTTTTTTCACAAGTGGCAATTTTCCGATAATAAACATTTATTCAAAGTTACAATGTTAGAATAAAAATGTCCAGCGATACTACACAATAAAAAAATGGGTGTCACTTCTATAAATTGAGTACGAAAGGGTTACTTTTTCTGTCAAAAACAGTATATAAAAGTATAAGGGTTTGGACTACGGGGAAGAACCTCCCTGTAGAAAAGTTTACCTCACTGAGTTTCAGCCCCACAAACAAATGACCAAAGATTAGGAAACAAAATTTTATTTGTCATTTTCTAAAATGTCAGAGCAGCGAGTCCAAAATGGATGGCTTAAACAGTCTGCCTTCTGTCTTCTTACACACCACACTGCCTTGATGCTCTGAGGAGGGATTAGTCATCAGGGCCTTCTCCAGATAGTATAGCTCAGTGACATTGTGAGTAGCTAAGTACTGGGGCAAGTTGTTGTACCAGAAACCTACATCACCAGTACCATGTGCATCGTCAGACAGTGTAAGTTTAGCTCCAGAAGTCAGAAGATACTATGAGAAAAAAAGATGCAAATGATAATTATCATAATTAGATCAGTTCTGAGATTTAGGCGATAAAGAAAAGTTCTAAGTGTCCTTCACTTGATTTGTTTTTGGTAAATGTTACAGAAAATTAGCAACTCCATTTTAATGAACTTGCTTGGTTCCATACATAATTTTATAATTTTAGCCTGTGAACAAGTTCTGGTTGGAAGGATCTGACTGCGGCTAAAAGGGCCAAGAAAGAACTGGTTGATAGTGAAGTGGCTGGGGGTGGTGGTGGGGATTGGGGTGGCTCTCCTCCTCTCTCTCCCCTAATCACTCTTCTCTCCTCTTTATTCCCACTTTCTCTCACACCATTGTCAACTAGAGAGCCTGTTAACAGGCTAACATAATTTTGATTTGTGTTTTGTCATAGCCTGCACTTGGCTGTTTGGAATCAGAAAAGGCATTTTGCTGTGGGCAGAAATTTGTAACATCTAAGTTTTTTATTTACAGGAATTGGC